ATTTTTATAATTTTTTATATAAATTAATTATAAAAAAATATATTTATTGTATTTTTAAGAGAACAAATTAGGCAAACTTTTTTTTAATTTATTAAAAATTTATTTTTCGTTTATTCTTCTTGTTAGGGGATAATTTTTTTCCCTTAAATTCCTCTCTTATTTAATTTAAATTTTAAATTTAAAAATTTCAAGCTCTGAAACCCTTAAACCAGCTCTTAAAAAGTGATTTCGCCTTGGATGATGGAAAGATATTTTTAGCTAGAGATATGCGATTGATACTTTTAACTATATACGACGGATAGCTGGCTTCCTCTCTAATTTCCTAGCATCCATATACCCCTATTCATTCCATGATCGAATCGGAAGCCTCCAAGTTAAGTTCAAAGTTTAAACTATTTGTGCTAGGTGGTTTGGAATTAAACCAATCATCATATATATGTCCTACTATTTTTAAATGATAATTGCTAATATGGGCTTATAATCTTGTTATATAATTTGGTATTAGTCATTGCAAGGCAGCAAAGGCCGAAGAAATGATTGTGATGGTGATAGCTTCAGAAAAACGAAATTGTTGTTTATACCCTTTGAAAGAATCATATATATTTTCCAATAATTGTGTTGTTGTATGATGGCCTGAAGTACCACCTAATCTTAAAATAAAAAAACTCTTAAATTAATTATTGGGAATTTGTATTAATTAGTTTAGAGATTTTTTTTTTTTGGTCAGCATTAGTTTAGAAAAGTTGAGTCAAATATATTTGATTTGAAATCTAAACCAACTCAAGAGAAGAATTCAAACCCTCCCCCATTTATATTTCTTCACTTACTCTATTCGTACAATGTTTTATGATGCTAATTAGTGTGAAATTTTTTTTATAAATAATAATAATAAATTATGTAAATTAAATGCAAAAAAATTATTCTTTATATATTATAAATTAATTTTAAATTAAATATTTACCTTTTGTTTTGATTACACTTCAAATTTTTACATCCGAGCGTGCAAAAGTGAAAATTATGGTACAAGTAATTTTGGTGGAAAAAAGGGTCTGGACGTTAGTCTATTTTAGACTAACAAAAACTTGTACCTTGAAGGAGAATTACTTCAACCCGTTTCCATATTAGAGGTAAAGACAAAGCCACTTTAATTTCTTCTGCCTTCTCTGGCCTAACTTTCGCAGACTCCCAAACCTTCCAAATTTTACCTTCGTGAACTGCATATGGAATGATATTACTACTTTTACTCTATTCATATTTTGAATCCGCAAGTCCTTTCCTGTCTGCAATAGTGTAATATATATTAGATTATTATGTTTGTCAGTGCAAGTTGGTCCATGTCTATGGACAAGGACATTTATCTTGACTCGAATAAGGTCCAAATTGGATGTCTCAACTTGAACAGAGCATCACTTAGAGCTACAATTTTTTTCTTTTTTTTTTTTTTATCGTCACTTAGAGCTACAATTATTGCCATTTCCTAATTTTTGGTTTCTTTGATGTTTCTTAATCAGTTTCTACTTCGGTAGTTTAATGTCATAATAAGATACAAGAATTTTTGTTCCTAAACTTTATAATGAAATTTTGTTATATTTATTAAGAAATTAATATATGAAAAATTAATAAAAAAAAGTTCTTAAATAGATCTCACATAAAAAAATTTGTGGAAAACTTTTTTTTTTTTAAGTAAGAAAAAAAGTTTATAAGTTTGGAATTGTGTTAAAAAATTAAAAAATAAAAATGTTAGTTTTATTTTTTATTTATTATAATTTTAATGTACATAAATACTAAAGAAGTTTGTCTATTTTATGTTCGGATGACATAGGATATGAAGCAATGATTGGGTAATTATTATAGTATTTTTTTTAAAAAGTAAAATTTTAATTTAAAAATATAATTTTTATTTT